CCTATAATGCGAACGAAGTAAATCTAAGCATCCCAATAATGCGAACGAAGTAAATCTAAGCATCCCAATAATGCGAACGAAGTAAATCTAAGCATCCCAATAATGCGAACGAAGTAAATCTAAGCATCCCAATAATGCGAACGAAGTAGGCCTAAATCTAAACATCCCAATAATGCAATCTACATACATCCCAATAATGTACTCTAAATACATCCCAATAATGCAATCTACATACATCCCAATAATGCAATCTACATACATCCCAATAATGTACTCTAAATACATCCCAATAATGTACTCTAAATACACCCCAATAATGTACTCATATATAATATAGAACTATACATCCCAATAATGCAAGTTACGAACGAAGGCGAATGAAAACGAATCGAAAGGGCTTATTATGGCTCACGAAGCAAGGTAGATTTGACAACTAAAAACCTATCCGAAAGCAATGAAATGCATACACAATGTTACAAAATATACAATAAAACAGTCATTACCAAATTTGTTGTTCTCCATAGTCTGAATTCCTAATTGCAAAACATCGAAAAACGAAATGGTCCAACGTAAAGAACTGTATTTTCCCACAAACCGGAAAACGTGCGAATTATAGTCTCGATTATTTAGACGCTATTTTTAGAATTGAAGGCAAAGTTCGTTTTGAACCCTACAATACGTCAATATGTTTGTGTTCAAGTCAGTGCTCAAAGGAAATAGAAAATTGCAGTGGATAGTGAATTTACTGGCTTTAACAATCTTTCCAGTGTGTTTTCAGCCTTGCTTCGTTATAATTTCCCGACCGACGCTTAGAAAACCCCGTAACGTTAGTAGTCAGAACGATCTAAAAAGTTTAAGTTACCTTTATTGAGTACTTTCAAATTCAAAGCAACATTTTCTGTCTCAGTGTCTGTGTCCATTGTCAACATGGAACGATGGGTCTCTTCTGCACTAGAAAAGGCATGGTCCACCATTTGTCTTGCTATTTGGTTTAAGTAGACATCAAGTGGACTGGGTCCTTTCACATATTGTATTGGAAACATCCTGGAAAAAAAAATAGGCTACAAGCTTTACAGGGAGAGTTTTATTTTCTTTAAGTAGGAGACATACCCACTTTGAATTTAATAATTTACGAAATAATTGTGTACAACTTGCGAACAGATTGGGATTAAACATGGAAAAATGGCACTTTTTATTTGTGGTCAAAAAGAACCAAATCCAAAATTAACCGAGATCTTGTCAAACTAGAAATTTTGACAGATACAGTGTGTACGTAGAGATTCTAATTACAAAGCATTGACAGTCAAGAGTCTACTCTTATGTTAAGAAAATCGCATTGTTTCCTCGTTTGGTCTATGCATTCATATGTTCTGCCAATTTGTTCAAAACAGATTCAATAGAAGGAGCAATGGACGAAATTCAGCATCAGAGGAAGCACAGCAGGAACTGGAAAAACACAATTCCACATGAAAATTACAATTTACCTTCGAATAATTCTGGAAAAATTCTGTATCTGAAGATTATTAGGTCTATTGTTATGATTAAAAAATGCCACTGTTCGCCATTTTCGGGGGTTGATTTCCGACTTGAATATGAAAAGACAAAAAGAGTACAAGAAATGTTGAAAATCGCA